AGCCAAAATTTAATTTATAGATTTTTCGTTTTTTTTTTTTTTTTTTTTTTTTTTCTTTTTCAGCACAAATTAAAGAGAAAACTCTACCCTGCCTCTGTAAGCAGCATCTCCTTGTGCAAAAGACTCTCCAGCATGCAGCCACCACCTCAGGCAGTCCCATCTAGCATGGCCGGACCACCCCCAGCTGGGAATCCTCGGAGCATGTTCTGGGCCAACAGCCCTTATAGGAGGCCAGCCAGTAATAATGCACCAGTGGCTCCCATAACTCGCCCATTGCAGCCAGTAACGGATCCGTTTGCATTTAATAGACAGACGCTCCAAAACACACCAGTGGCCAGTTCATCCAAAAGCAGCCTGCCCAGTTTGCATGGACCAGCCCTCCCTGTGTTTTCTCAGTGGCCTGGTTTGCCTGTGCCTCCCACAAATGCTGGGGATAGCTCCCAAGGACCCCAGGAGCCTCTGTCGGGACCTCTGTCACAGCCCAGAGCAGATGCCAGCCCATTTCCTCCTGTGTCCATCCCTTCATCGTTCACCGGGCCAGACAGCAGTAGACGTGCTGAAGTCGTCGGTTCTGGCTCAGGGCCTGAAGTTCAGACGCTGCCACGTGCACCTCAGTACATTCCAGGAATGGGTCCTGAGCAGCCTCAAGGGGGCCATCCACATAATAGTGGGCCTGGGCCTGACCAACCCTTGAGTAAGCACACCTCACACGATGGTGCTGTGACCCAAGCAGCATCCGCTTTTTTCCCCCAACCTAGCCAACAGATGCCAGGTTCATGGGGGCTAGTGCAGGGAGGCCCACAGCCTTCTTACCAGCATCACGCACCCTGCCCAGAGGGACCCATTCAAAGTTTAGGGCCCCAGGCTGCCAGCTTGCCCCATTTCCCCTCTCCATCAAATCTACACCAGGGGCCTGGCCATGAGGCCCATGTTACAGCAGTGTCTCCTCCAGCACCCTTGGCCAGTGGTGGAGGGAATGAAGTAGTCCACCAGCAAAGTGGAAATCACTCATTGAATAACTTTCCCCCTAAACATACTTTTGGGCAGAATTCCAGAATTGGGAGTATGTGGGCAAGCCCAGAGTTGAGACAGAATCCAGGAGTGAATAAAGACCATCTGCCAGACCCTGTCCCTGGTCATCCCTTCACTCAGGGAAACAGCCCCGAAACCCAGGTGTACCATCCCCCAGGGGCTGCCTCTAGCCATGCCCTGCCTGAAACAGCCTCGGGAGCTCTCACAATGTTTTTCCAAGGAGAGACAGAAAATGAGGAGAATCTCTCACCCAAAAAAGCAGGCTTCGATGACCGATTGGATTTGGATGGCTTTCCCTCCGGCTCCGGATGGGGCCATCCGCTGCCACCTGCACACGGAGCCGGTAGTGTCTACCAGGCCTTTCTCAAAGGCCCCAGCAGTGAGACTGCCCAACAGGAAGGAGATGCACAACCTTATTTTTCTCAGTCTCCGGGGATCCAGCATGACAAACAGGCCACTAAAAGCACCACTAGTGATGCCTGGGGTGACTCTGTGAGTTCCGGGACCCACCATACTAGCAGTGCACAGTACGAGAACGTTGAAAACCTAGAATTTGTTCAGAATCAAGAAGTTTTGCCAAGTGAGCCCCTAGGTGTGGACCCCTCTTCCTTGAGCGATCAGTTCCGATGTGGGCCCCTTCCTGGGCCAGCTGTCCCCAGGCCTCTTACTGGGGGTCTCACCAGAGGTGGGGGGCTGAATCTTGAGAGCCTGGAGACGTCACTGCACCCTACGAGACCTGACAGCGTGTCATCCAGCTTCAGCAGCCACAGCCACAGGAGTCCTCCTGCATCAGCCAGGCCCCAGGAATTGGTAGGTACCTTCATTCAGCAAGAAGTTGGAAAGCCTGAAGATGATCCTTCAGGGAATTTTTTTAAGCAGATTGATTCATCTCCTGTTGGAGGTGAAGTCGATGAGATCACCGGGAGCCAGAATCTCTGCAGCAGCCTGTCCCAGCCCTCAACCCCAAGTCCCCCCAAACCCACAGGCGTATTCCAGACAAGTGCAAATAGTTCTTTTGAACCGGTAAAATCCCACTTGGTTGGGGTGAAGCCAGTTGAGGCAGATCGTGCCAACATGGTGGTTGAAGTGAGGGGGACCCGCAACCGCCAGAAGAAGCACAGGGCAGCTGTCGCACCACCCGATGCTTCCCCAGGCAACCTGGAGCAGCCACCGGACAACATGGAGACCCTGTGTGCACCTCAGGCCTGCCCTCTGTCTCTCAGCACCACCGTGGAAGCTGGACACCTGATTTCACACACAGTGGGACCACCCTTAGATACTGTGCGCCCAGTGCCTGAGAAGAGGCCCTCAGCCAGGGCCCAGGGGACTGTGAAGTGCGAGAGCCCAGCCACAACTCTATGGGCACAAAATGAGCTGCCAGATTTTGGTGGCAATGTCCTTCTGGCCCCTGCTGCCCCTGCACTTTATGTCCCTGTGAAACCAAAGCCGACAGAAGTTGTTCATCATCCTGAAAAGGGAGCGTCTGGGCAGCAGCCTCGGAAGCCAGGGTCTGTGCCACCCTTGCCGAACCAAGAAGGTCCTGGTGCTTCTGAGAACCTTGAGAACCCTCCCAAGGTGGGAGAAGAGGAGGCCCTTCTGTTGCAGGCAAGTTCTGGTTATGCGAGTTTGCTGTCCTCACCGCCCACTGAATCTTTGCATAATCACCCTGTCTTGATTGCCCAGCCTGATCAAAGCTATGCTTTGGCTCAGCCCAGTAATCTTTCTGTGTCTTTGCTGAGTCCTAATGAGAAGAATCAGTCCTGGGGAGACGCTGTGATGGGGGAGAAAGCCACCGTGAGCAGCGGCCAGGCTCTCAGTCGTGATCCTGGAGAACATGCTGCTGTGTCTGGGGTTCCAACCAGTGCTGTCACCCAGAGTCACATACCACAAGGTTCTGGGCCTTCTGAAATGATTTCTAGTCATCCTGCCAGTTTATTGGTTCAGCAGCTGTCCCATCCAGTTCCAAAGAACTCACTTTCTGAAAGCCAAAAGAATCCTAATACAGAAAAGGCTCCTCTTGAGTTTGTTAATAACCCTGCTGGAAGCACAAGTCTGATGTTAGTTCCACCCGCAGACAGTACCTTGGTGCCTAGTAGCAATAAGGCAGATCGCTCCAGTAACTGGGAAGAAGCTGCTGGAGCCCTAGACTTCACATTAAATAGGACTTTGGAAAATTCTGTGAGAATGTATAGCCCACCCCACTCAGATGGCACAGCTTCTCAGCAGGCTTTTGCCACTCATCCCAGAGAGTCTGGGCCTGGGCCACATAACCCAGACCATTTCTACCAGCAGGTAACAAAAGGTGCCCAGGACCAGTATGGCGTAGAAAGAGCCCAGCCCGAGCTAGTGACTCCTCAGCCACAGACTTCTCCCTCACAAATGCCCCAAGTGACATGTCCGGAGCCTTCAAGTCCAGAAAGTCTACCCACACAAGGACAGTCTGAAAGCTCTGCCCAGCCACCAGCAAGTCCAGCTCCAACCGACACAGGCCAGCAGCCACTACCTCGGCCACCTCAGTCCTCCAGTGCATCAGTTGTGTCTACCAGCTCCAGCCAGGCAGCTGTGCGGTCAGAGCAGCCGTGGCTACACCCGCCGCCTCCGAGCGCTTTTGCCCTACAACCTCAAGACTTTATATCCTGCTACTATTACAGACCCCTGTATGACGCCTACCCGCCTCAGTACCTGTCAGGGTACCCGTCGGATCCTGGGACGGCCTCCCTGTATTACCAGGTGAGAGTGCTAGTGTGTAACCATCTTTCTCTCCTCCCTTTGGCCCCTGAGCTGCTCTCACTCTGTCTTTCCCAGGTGTGACTTGTCTTCAGACCCATGTGGTGCCTCTGAAGAAAGCCCTCCCTGGCGACCAGCAAACGTCTTCCCTTAGAGGGTCCTCGCAGAAGTAGCATGTTGGTTTGCTTGTAATACCAGTGCTGTTTTCCTGGACCCCAACATCTCTAAATTGACAGAATGAGCCGCTTGTTTCCTGGAACATTTATCAGCTCACTGCAGAGTTATGTGTTGTGCTCTTTGGGAAGCAGGTTAGCCTTTGGGAAAGTCTAAAGTTATTTTTTTGTTTGCTTTTTGAGACAAGGCGTCAAGCTTGGGGACAAGTGCCTTTACTCACTGAGCCATCTTTCCCTTGCTTTTCATATGGTTTTAACAACAAAAAACAACTCATAAAATTCACAACAGGAATAACTCTAGGAATCTTTTAAATCCCTTCTTGCAAATAAAATTTTTGAGGGAAAAATTATCCACATACAGTAATGAAGAGGTGAGAGCCCAAAAGTACAAATACGGACTTCTGTTAAGTGCATGGCAGTGACCCAGCAGACTGGGAGGCTTGCTGTGTCCTTTCTGCTGTTTAAGTTCTATTTAGCCTCAGTAGTTTGAAATGATGTGACATGTCCATATACATTTGCTTTTCCTCAGCTATGGCCCAGACCCAGCATCAGCCAAGGTATATGGATTGTGTCACACAAAGATGGAAGACCCAGGTTCTCCAGTGTTTGGGGCCACAGGGTGTTGAATTCGAGTGCTGTCTGAGAGCATTTGGCCCTGTGGCTGCTTAGGAAGGATGGGCCAGAAGGAGCCTCAGGAGAAGGCTAGCGTGGCCACAGGCTTGTGCCTCCCAGCCAGCCTGGGGCATCATCAGGTGTACCTGTGTGAGCAGTTACACTTTTGCGCCTCAGATCTGTGAATCCCAGATTCAAGAAAGAGGAGTTGTAGATTTTATTTCTATATAAAGGAAGCTCAGCTCTGCATGACAGTAGGGTGCAGAGTGAAGGGAGCCACAGGCTCACTGCAGGCCCCTTGGGTGTCCCAAACCTGGTCTCTTCTATGAAAGTGCATCCTTTCCTCTTTGGCTGTAATCGCCAGCGCTCAGAAGAGTCATTTCCCATGATTTCATGTTACCTGCCAGGTGATGACAGAGCTGAGGCTTTGCACATGGGTGGGATGAGCTCTGATTCATGCCTGTATCACCTCTACACGGCCACTGCGGCCTCAGTTCAGAGGCAGGGCTGAGGTCATATTTGGGTGGTAATGAAGCTAAAATCCTTGTCAGAATCAGATATGACCTTTAAGCCAGAGGTGATGGTTTCACACCTGCCATGCCAGGCCTGGAGGAGGGTGAGACAGGAGAATTACTGCAAGTTTTAGGCCAGCATGGGCTGCATAGTGAGTTTCAGGCCAGCTTAGACTAGAGTGTGAGATTCTACCTCCAATATAAACCAGCAAACAACCCTCCTCCCCACCCCCACCCCAAATTCCAAAACAACCAGCACTGAGATCCTTTCTTGTGAGGTTACCTGTGGTTCCGGGATTCATTCATGTGGAGGTCTGTCCTTTTGCTTTACTGGGGTAGTAGCCGACCCAGGCACAAGCACATTGTTGCAGCCTGCAGCAGGAAAAAACCATTTGGTGTGTCTGGGGCTTTGGCCTGAGGCGCTTCTGCTGGCTACCTTCGTGGCCTGCACTTGTTTTTGTGAGGACCCACCTCCACCTTCAGTCCTGCTTTGGGGCCGTGGGCTTCCGAAGTGTGTACCGTAGAGCTAGCTGGCCACTCGGTCTGCTTGTCATAGAGTCTAATGGTGCCCACACCTTCTTCCCACAGGATTTCTATGGCCCGTATGAGCCTCGATACAGGCCCTGTGACAGCTCAGCGTCTGCTTATGCCGAGAACTACCGATACCCTGAGCCCGAGCGGCCCAGCTCCCGAGCCAGTCACTGCTCAGACCGGCCCACTCCCAGGTGGGAACTGCATCCCATATGGCGGCCTCTCATACTCATACTGCTGTTGTGTTGCTGTGTTGCGTTGTGTTGTGTTGTGTTGTGTTGTGTTGTATGATGGGAATAATTCTTTATGAAGAATTAATGCAAACCCATTTTTTCAGCATGGGCAAATGACAGGGTGTGTTTTTAAGCTGAACTAAGCACATTGCCACATGCAGTCTGAGCAGAGCTAGCCCCACCCCCGAGTCAGGCCAGAGCCTATGCAAGGCCATAAAGAAGTGCCCTCTGCTAGTGGATAGGTCGTTGTTCTGTCACCAGGCACATCCATTCCACAGGCAGTGTGATAATGGGCTTTTAGACTGCAGCAGCAACAAGTCTTGAGAGGACTGATCACAGAGGTAACATAATCCGTGACTCCATCAAGCAATCCCCAATATAGGCCCCAAAACCTGTGTTCTGTGCCTGGCTCTGTTGCAGCCCTTCTCTCTCCCTTCCCCATCGGCAGCCTGCATATCTCTTGCGCTGGCTGTCCATGTCTCCTGTTTTGCAGTCATGGGGGAGAGATTTACAAAGAACCTTGGCATTGTGCCCTCTGTGTAAGCCTGTGGCGTGGTCCAAGTCTACCTTGCCTTCTCAGCTCCCCACAGCCTGCTTTTGATCTCTCGTCCACTTAAGCCATTGATGACATTGGGCAGAGTAGTGGGGTATGGGTCCCAGTCACTGTGGACTCTGCCACCTCAGCTCTTGACGTTGTCCAGCTTGGTTAAGCCCAGCAGTGGGTACTCGTGGGAGTTGGCTGTGCAGCAGGGGTGTGTCACTCCAGCTTAGAAACTTCCAGTTGCTAAGGTTGTGTGTGTGCTGTTTTCACACTTTTCTGGAGACTGGTTCTTTGAGTCTTATCTGAAAACAGACTGCTTTGCCTGTAAGCCTTTGCTCATTTAGCTGGCCCCAGCATACCTTGTTCCAAAGGCATACTGAACCGTGTGCAGGCACACAGGGCTAATGTTCTGGGTCTCTATGAAGCATAGCAACACTGAGGCTTTGGTCTCTCAAGGAACTTAATTGTTGAACTAGAGCGTTGGTGAGTGCTGGAGTACCTGCCTAGTGGGAGGCCCTGGGTTGGTCCCTAACACTGAGACATACACACTCAATTGTGAGAGCGTTCCTACAGTATTAACTGTTACATGCCGTGTCACCTGGAAAGTGGCATCTGACTCACAGCTTCCGATTAAAAACCTCTGTGGGGAGATACGAGGACAGCTGTTTCCCAGCGGGCCAAAGGGAGAGAGTAAGGTGAGGGCGGAGCCAGGGCAAGCCTTCCCCTTGTCAGTTTGCCTTCTCCTCTTGCCCACTGCTTCACACAAGAATTCACCTGACGAGGGCGAGGGTGACTGTGTGATGTCCCACAGCCCCAGCCTCAGGCTGGGTCAAGTCACTTCTGCCGGGTTTTGTCACTGGCTGCAGCTTTCGCTGCAGCTTGGGGTCCTCTGAGTGCCTTCAGCCTTCATCACAGCCTGCCGGGGAGGCTGCCTTCTTGTTCCCTTGCCTGTGTGTGAACACCCAGTGCTGTGCCACTCAGTGTTATGGAGATCAGGTTGCCGCAGGACCTCCTTGATGCGGGACCCCTCTTTCATTTTGCGACTGTCATTCCTGAGCTGCACATGGGTTGGTAAAGGGCAGTCAGTGACGGCATGCTCTTGAACTTGCTCTGTGTTAAGGTGTTTTTCTGAAACCACCACCATGTAGATAAATGTCTGGAGTGACCAGCCTGAAGGCCTTAAGGCCAGACTGGTGTTGCTACTGTGGCTGAGCAGCTGGGTGAGCAGATGTCTTCGTAGCTAAACAGCCTGGCCTAGCCACAGGTTCCTGAAGAGAGATGAGAAGAACCATGTTGAGAAGTCAAGCATTGTGTAGAATTTGTTATTAGAAAATTTAAAACTACTGTTTGGTACTTTCAAGGATCCCAGAGTACTAAAGCCCTTACACCACTTCATTTGACTAAATCTCACCTTTTCTGTAATGGGAGTCAGGGTTCAGTTTATCAGTTCAGTCTGTCTTGCATGGAGGAGGCTGACAGTATGTTGGACCTCAGCCCCAACCAGTCTCACAGATTTGCTTCCCAAGGCCGCACAGAGAACATAGGTAGCCAGTGGCTTTCCTAAAGGTTGTTGAAATTGGCGTTTTCTGGTGGCTCTCTTCTGTCTGTAATTCTGTCACTCTGGAGGCTTAGGCAGGAGGTTGATATGAGTTCAAGGCCAGCCCTGGGCTACATAGTAAGACCTTGTCTCAAAAACAAGAAAAAGAAGGAAATCGGAATTTTAGGTCGATTTGGGGCTCAGTGCTTCTTGGTGTCACTAAGCATGGTGTGAAAACTCACCCCGTGTGCAGCACTGAGTGCAGAGGGGTTCAGTTCTGCAGAACACTCAGACAGTGAATTTGCTGAGTCAGTTTCAGTTTGTTGCATGATGGGGAATTCCATAATCTCATCTTTGTTTCTGCTTTTGATCTTCTGGTTAGAGTTATTCACAACCAAAACACTTGGATGATGGTGTCACTAAGCATGGTGTGAAAACTCACCCCGTGTGCAGCACTGAGTGCAGAGGGGTTCAGTTCTGCAGAACACTCAGACAGTGAATTTGCTGAGTCAGTTTCAGTTTGTTGCATGATGGGGAATTCCATAATCTCATCTTTGTTTCTGCTTTTGATCTTCTGGTTAGAGTTATTCACAACCAAAACACTTGGATGAATGTCTGTGGGGTGTGTGTGTGTGTGTGTGTGTGTGTGTGTGTGTGTGTGTGTTTATTTCTTTCTACACTCTCTAACAGGGGAGCTGTCTTTCTCACTTTTGTTCTCTTTTGTTTTGTTTGTCTCACACACACGTATCTATCCTGCTACTAACG